TATGAATGAATCTGCGCGCGATTGATTCTGTTCGCATGAATGCGTGCATGGATACGCCCAGTGTAAATGTATGTATACGACTGTGAACAGTTTGGGTCTGCGTGACTCTCGGTACTCGTGACTCTGAGCGTCGCCTCTGCAGGGGGCTTCCCTGGGAACCCCGACGGCAGCGCCGCGCGCCGCGACGCCCATGTCGGCACGCCACACACCTGGTGTGCGGTACGCATGCGGACGGCAGCCATGGGGCCTTCGGTGGAGCTCCCTATGGGGCCACGAAACGTGTGAGGGGTGTGCCGAAATGGGTGTGCGGGACGCATGCGGACGGCAGCACTGGGGCCTTCGGTGGAGCTCCCTGTGGGGCCACGAAACGGGTGAGGGGTGTGCCGAAATGGGTGTGCGGGACGCATGCGGACGGCACCCATGGGGCCTTCGGTGGAGCTCCCTATGGGGCCACGAAACGTGTGAGGGGTGTGCCGAAATGGTGTGCGGGACGCATGCGGACGGCAGCACTGGGGCCTTCGGTGGAGCTCCCTGTGGGGCCACGAAACGTGTGAGGGGTGTGCCGAAATGGGCGTGCGGGGCGCATGCGGACGGCAGCCATGGGGCCTTCGGTGGAGCTCCCTATGGGGCCACGAAACGTGTGAGGGGTGTGCCGAAATGGGTGTGCGGGACGCATGCGGACGGCAGCCATGGGGCCTTCGTTGGAGCTCCCTGTGGGGCCACGAAACGTGTGAGGGGTGTGCCGAAATGGGTGTGCGGGACGCATGCGGATGGCAGCACTGGGGCCTTCGGTGGAGCTCCCTGTGGGGCCACGAAAAGTGTGAGGGGTGTGCCGAAATGGGTGTGCGGGACGCATGCGGACGGCAGCCATGGGGCCTTCGGTGGAGCTCCCTATGGGGCCACGAAACGTGTGAGGGGTGGCCGAAATGGGTGTGCGGGACGCATGCGGACGGCAGCATTGGGGCCTTCGGTGGAGCTCCCTGTGGGGCCACGAAACGTGTGAGGGGTGTGCCGAAATGGGTGTGAGGGACGCATGCGGACGGCAGCAATGGGGCCTTCGGTGGAGCTCCCTGTGGGGCCACGAAACGTGTGAGGGGTGTGCCGAAATGGGTGTGCGGGACGCATGCGGACGGCAGCCATGGGGCCTTAGGTGGAGCTCCCTATGGGGCCACGAAACGTGTGAGGGGTGTGCCGAAATGGGTGTGCGGGACGCATGCGGACGGCAGCCATGGGGCCTTAGGTGGAGATCCCTATTGTGGGCCACGAAAGCGGTGAGGGGTGTCCGAAATGGGTGTGCGGAAGCATGCGGACGCAGCACTGGGGGCCTTCGTGGAGCTCCATTGGGTCGGGCCACGGAAAACGTGGAGGACGAGGGGTGTGGCCGAAATGGGTGTGCGGGACGCATGCGGACGGGCAACCATGGGGGCCTTCTGTGGAGCTCCCTGTGGGGTCACGAAACGGGTGAGGGGTTCCGAATGAAGGCGTGGCCGCATCGCGGACGCTAGCACTGCGGGCCTCGGTGGGACGCCTTCCCTGTGGGGCCACGAAACGTGTGAGGGGTGTGCGAAGGGTGATGACGATGACGTGACGACGATGACAAGGACGATGACGATGACTACGACGATACTGATGCTGATGCTGATGATGATGATGATGATGATGATGATGATGATGATGATGATGATGATGATGATGATGATGATGATGATGATGATGATGATGATGATGATGGGAGGAGGGAGGAGGGGGAGGAGGAGGAGAGGAGGTGGGACGCGGGGCGCTGTCTCTTCAAAACGAGGACCCAACACCACAGGATGGTTGGGAAACATACTACAAATCGTCCCCTGACGTTTTTCTTATAACTATTTTTGAATATTCCTCCTGTAGATGGACACGCTCGACTTAACAGTGGGACCTTCGGTGGAGCTCCCTGTGGGGCCACGAAGCGCTGTACTGGGTGAGGGAACTGCATGCGATTTCCACCACTGGGACCTTCGGTGGAGCTCCCGGTGGGGCTACGAAGCGCCGTACTGGGTGGGGGAACTGCATGCGAGTTCCGCCACTGGGACCTTCAGTGGAGCTCACTGTGGGGCCACGAAGCGCTGTACTGAGTGGGGAAACCGCATGGGAACTGTGCCACAGGACCGGCTCTTCATCCTGAGCCCTTCTTGGACGGCCCCGAGGACCGTCAAGCACCCCCCAAGGCCGAAAACGGCAACCAAAGCTCGCGTCGTGATTTTCTCAGGCGAGCATGTCTGGGTTTTCCTCCCTCAAAGGCCAGAGGTCGAGCCGCCAGGCGACGGCTGGCGGAACGCGGGCGTCTGCGGGGGCGGGCCCGCCGGCGTGAAGGGCTGCGCGGACACCGCCGAGCTGGGCGCTGGGGTCGCCGGGGGGGGCCCCGCGGGCGTGAAGGGCATGGCCGAGGCCGCGGACCCGGGCGCGCTGCGTGGGAAGGCCGGCGTCTGCGGGGGCGGGCCCGCTGGGGTGAAGGGCTGCGCGGACAGGGGCGGCGCAGAGCCTGGGTCAGGGCTCGAGCTAGACCGTGTCTTCCAGTGCCGTTTTGTCCTCGCTTTCTCTCGCTCTGTCTTCGCTGCCAGACATACAAAAACGACGACGGACAATGACATCGCCAACACACTGTTTAGCTGGAGCCCTGGCCTGGATTCGCTGGCGTCTGCGGCGGGGGGCCCGCCGGCGTGAACGGCTGCGCCGGCGCAGAGAAGGCGGAGGTCGACGACCCCGGCGCCGCACCTCGCTGGAACGCTGGCGTCTGCGGCGGCGGGCCCGCTGGCGTGAACGGCTGCACCGGCGCGGAGAAGGCGGAGGTCGACGACCCCGGCGCCACACCTCGCTGGAACGCTGGCGTCTGCGGCGGCGGACCCGCTGGCGTGAACGGCTGCGCCGGCGCGGAGAAGGCGGAGGTCGACGACCCGGGCGCCGCACCTCGGATCCCGGCCGGGGTCGCGGGCGGGGGGCCCCGCGGCGTCAGCGGTTGGAAGGCGTCGATCGGCGTGCTGGGGATGGCCCCTGGCGAGGGGCCCAGCTGGTGCCACGGCGTCCTGGGCGCAGAGGAGCCGCCGTGCTCCGCCTTCTGGCCCGCATGGGGCTTGAACTCGGACGGGGTGGAGGGTGCCTTGAGCAAGGCGTCGGCCGGCGTTTGGGGCGCCGCCGAGCCGGCACCCGTCTTCACCTGCCACGGCGTGATCGGCGCCCCCGCGCCCGCAAACGTGGCCGCCGCCCTGAATCCCGGGGTCAGCGGCGGCGGCCCTGCCGGGGTGCCTGACGCCTGCTGCCTGCGGCAGCGCGTCACACGGGGGCAGCGCGAGGACTGCTGCCGTCTCAGAGGGCGGGTGGCTTCCAAGAAGGCGCCCCCCGGCTTCCAAGAAGGCCCCCCAGGAGCTGCGAGGGCACCCAAGAAGCGCCGCAGGCCCCTCGAAAAGAGGAGGCCTCTGCCTCGTGAGCAGCCCCCCGCCTCCCTGGAGGGTCGCCACCCTCGAGCGGCATCCCCAGTTGTGCGCGCCGCCGAATGCCTGGTCAGGGTCAGAGGTGTCGCTGGCGGGATCACTCGTCTTATCTGCGCAGGCGTCTGCGGCGGGAGCCCGGCGGGTGTCATGCCGCCAGCGGCGAAGCCCCTGGGTGTGGCCGGCGGCAGCCCATGCCGTGGCATGCCGGCTCCCGACGCGGGTGTGAAGGGCATCGGCGCCGCGACGCCCAGGTGCGACGGCGTCTGCGGCACAAACTGGGGCCGAAGCTGCACGGACGAGTACATGCGCATGATCTCTTCTACGTTCGCGACGAGCTTCCGCTTGCTGGCCGTCTCCCGCTCTTGTTTCACCATCTCTCTGTCCAACGAGTTCCACCAGGACGAGTATCCGACTAGCACTTCGGACCCCAGCTTCCTGAAGCTGTTCTGTGTGAGCAGCCTTGCCAGTTCAAGATCGGCGTCTAGTACCACTGAATTCGTCGCCAGGCTCATTAATGATTGCAGCCGCGCCACCCAGTTCGCTTTGGAAACTGCCCGCCGAGTTTTGCCCTGCGGGACCCACGCATACTGGGACCGCAGCCGCTTCAATATCGTATCGACGCCTTCTCGAACCTGCGCGACCTGCCGAAGAGTGATTGGGATGCCGCCCTCTTTCTCGAGGGGTGGCCGCTTTGTGCCACCGGCGTCGTCCCCGCAGAGGTACGGCCGAATCAGCTTGTCGAAGTGCAGGTATGCACGCATTTTCGCGGCGACATCCTCCGCAGTCCTATCCTTGCTGCTCGCCAGCCCGCACCAGTGCAGCTCCACGTCCCTCTCGATGTTGAGCACCACCTGCAGCTGCCGTTCGAGCTCCAGCAGATGCAACTGTGCCGCCTGCTCCTCGTTGGGCCTCAGCTGCCAGCTCTTGAAAAGCCGGTTCAGGGCTGCATTCTTGGCTTTGCGCAGCTCGTGGCTCTTGGGCGAGTCCTCTATGATACACTGCGCGATCGCCAGGGCCTTCTCCAGCGTCAGCCAGCAGACTATTTCGATGGCGCGCTCTGCTTGACACTGCTTCACGAAAGCGACAGCCAGCGCCTCTGGCGATGCGTATGCCTGCGGGTTCATCGCCGCGTACTCGTAGGCGTGCACGAGGATCATGAGGCGCACCGTAAGAGGCATGGGCCCCAGCACATCTCCCACGATCTGCATTACTTCCTCGTGTGCGTGCTCTGGGAGTCCTGGAGAGGAGCAACAAAAAGGCATGAGCAGAAACTTTCTGAGGTCCGCGCAGCTTGCCTGGAACGGCGCTGGACCCCCCTGCCTGGCGCGCGGAGCGCGCCAGCGGCAGCGCCAGAGGCGCCGCCAGAAGGTTCTGGCACAGATCCAAGAAATCCGCGCGGGGCTCAGAACATGCGATTGCTCATGCAATGGCTTCTCTTCGATCCGCTGAGCTGCTCGCACAAGAGCTTGGTGAGCTGCGGGATCGTCTCGTGGGCATCCCTGCGGACGTGCAGCTTCGGTATGCGGCTCCCGGCCCTGGTCCTCATCGCGAGGGCCGGCACGTGCCTGCAGACGAGCGCGAGGGCCCCCCGCTCCTCCGCTAACAGGGCGATGGCGCAGCTGCTGATGTCGTCCGGCATCACCCGCGCCTCCAGCACGAGCGCCTCGATCCACTGCAGCGCGCAGACCAGGATCCGCTGCTCCTCGATCTGCCCATGCGCGAGGGTGTTGAACACTCGCAGTGCGTCCTCGCTCGGGAACGGGCCTCCGACCAGGCTCTTCTTGTCAGCACGGCCGCGTATCTTCTGCAACAGCAGGGAGGCCACCATTGTCTCGTGGGAGTTGGGGACCCAACCCTCGCCCTTATAGTCCATGTCGGCTGCAATTTCTGGGTAGTCCGCGTTCTCGTCGCCCTCGGGCTTATCCAGCGTGTCGGGCTCTTTGCCCATGTGTAGCGCCTCCCAGGAAACTTCCGGCTCGTTCACCTCCTTTACCTCCTTTACCTCTTGAGTTTCCTCCTTGCCGACCCAGGTGCCCTGGCCTCTTTCTGAGTCTCCGTGATCTGGCTCCTCCGCTGGCGAAGTCTGCATTGGGTTCCCGGCCGGCGTCGTGGTGGCCTGCCAGTTCCACGGCGTCCCCGCCGCCTGGTTCCCCGGCGTCCCGGCCGCCTGGTTCCAGGGCGTCGTGGCCGCCTCGGGCTGCTTGCCCTCGTCTGCCTCCTGGTCGCCCCAGCCCCCCCAGCTGGTGTCCTGCCGCTGGTTCGTGCTGGCCTCGGCAGGCGCGGCCCCCGAGCCTGCGTCGGCCCAGCCCTCCTCCCGGGGCCAGCCCGAGCCCTTCGGCCCCTCGGCCTGGCGCTCGTTCTCGGCCCGCCAGCCAGCGGCGTCCCAGCCCTCCTCCTGGGGCCAGCCCGAATCCTTAGGAGCCTCTGCCTGGCGCTGGTCGGCCCAGCCCTCCTCCTGGGGCCAGCCCGAATCCTCAGCAGCCTCTGCCTGGCGCTGGTCGGCCCAGCCCTCCTCCTGGGGCCAGCCCGAGCCCTTCGGAGCTTCTTGCTGGAGCAGGCCCTCGGCGTCCGCCTGGCCGCGCGCCTCCCAGTCGGCGCTGGCGCTGGGTCGCTCGCCGTCCTCGGCGGGCTCGGCGTCCCTGGGGCCTCTTCGCCGCAGGTCCGGGCCGCTGGCATCGGCGGCCGCGCTGGCGCGGACCTCGGGGGTCCCAGGCACGCGACGCAGTGTTATTATCTGTGTGTCTGTGAGTGTGTGTGTGTTTCTGCCAAACCTCCTGCGTTCGACTATCTTTTTGTTGGGCCATAGTTTTGAATCGAGCACTGCTCGCGCGTCTCCTCCTCCTCCTCCTCCTCCTTCTCCTCCTCCTCCTCCTCCCTCCTCCTCCTCCTCCTCCTCCTCCTCTTCCTCCTCTTCCTCCTCCTCCTCCTCCTGCCCCTCCTCTTGCTCCTCCGCACCCTCAGCCTCTTCCTCCTCATCCCCTCTTCTTCCTTCTAGCTCCTCCCACTCTTCCCGTCCTCTCACTCCTCCTCCTCCTCTTCCTCCTCTTCCTCCTCTTCCTACCTCTTCCTACCATCTGCCTCCGTGCGCACTTGTCGCCAGTTTCGTGGGCTTCTCGGTGGCCGAGCTCAGTGGAGTCCTACGCGGATCCAGGTTAGACCTCGTGGCTCCCTAGGGGGCTGCTACCTGCGCAACTGTCAGCACTGTTGTGGGCTCCTGGGAATGCCCAACTCAACGGTGTCCAACGCGCATCCAGATTAGACCTCGCTGCTTCCGGGGAGGCCTAGCTCAATGATGTCCTACGCGCATCCAGATTACCTCCCATGGCCTCCTGGGGGGGGCTACAACCTGCGCAACTGCCGCCACTTCCGTGGGCCCCTTGGAGGCCCAGCGGAGTTGTGTCCTTCGTGCATCCAGACGAGACCTCGCGACTCCCTGAGGGGCTGTCGCCGCGCAAGTGTCGCCACCTTCGTGTGCTCCTTGGAGGGACAGCTCTGTGGTACCCAACGCGCATCCAAACTAGACTTCGTGGGTCCCTGGAAGGCTGCCGCGGTTCCCTGCGCAACTGCCGCCACTTCTGCGGGCTCCTGGGAAGTACCGCGGGGCGATGTCATACGCGCATCCCGACGAGATCTCGCGGCTCACTGGGGGGGCCGCCACCTGCGCAACTGCCGCTACTTCCAGATTGAACATCGCGGCTTCCTGGGGGGAGTACTGCCTGCGCAACTGACACCATTTTCGTTGGCCCCTAGGTGGCCCAGCTCAGTGGTGTCCTACGCGCATCCAGATTAGACCTCGCGGCCCCCCTAGGAGGGCCACCACCGGCGCAACTGTCAGCACTTTCGTGGGCTCCTGGGAAGGCCCAGCTCAACGGTGCCCAACGCGCATCCAGATTAGACCTCGCTGCTTCCGGGGGGGGGGGCGCTACCTGCGCAACTGTCGCTACTTTCGTGGGCTCCTGGAAGGCCAAACTCAGTGGTGTCCTACGCGCATCCAGATTACCCTCCGTGGCGGCTCACTGGGGGGGGGGGCTACCAC